CTCTCTAATTTCTGCATTTCGAACAAAAAATTTTTATTTTTTCTATGAATTCTCTATTTTTTGTTTGCATTATTGCTATGTGTTCATTATTTTTCATTTTTTAAAATCCGTTTTTCTTATTATAATCATTGAATTAATTGACAAATAATTCTGTTTATATATGATATCTACAGCCGATCTTACGCGCTATCATATATATTAATCAACACACAAACAATGATATTCATTATTTTTCGAAATTATAACTTGATCAATTTTGCAAAACAATTCTAAAAAGCCTGACGCCACAATGAAGATAAAACAAAAAAAAGAACACCGCAAGCATATCAATCAACACATAATTAGTTCTTAAAAGATGGAACTCTCCATAAAATTAGTGCAAATAACCAGCACTAGTTACCTCGTAATCAGAATCACTATTCATTCTTTCGATGTGTTCAATTATTAACTCTCACATAGTTTTACGTTTGACCTTACCAGTGTATAAGTGATGCGAATTAGTTATTTTATCTGAACATATGCTGAGACCGAGGCTCATCAGTCCGACTATGATGTAAAGCAATCCATTGCGGCATAACGGTAATGAAACATTGGTTCAAACAGTGAATGCCGCCAACAGACTTGATAGATTCAACTCGATCTAGTCGATCTTGTGCAACGACCTCAAAAATATAGAGCGAAGTTTTGTTTCACTCGCCGAACTATAGACGTTTGTCACAACCTGAAACGTCTCCAATCGATTGAAAAGAAAAATAGTCAAGATCAACGAGGGAATAATGCGATGGTACTTGAACACTACAGGAACAAAATACGATCAACCTATGTTGATTGCATTGCTCACTGACAACTATCAAGAGAATCGTTTATAATGGGCTCAATGTCACAAAACAACGAACTAAAACCAAACGATCTTTTCTGGCAAGACAATCATTTGTCTAAATTCCATCAAAAGTTCAGTACGAACTATCAAGCATCTTATGAAAGTCAATATTTGAAGTAGCTTCTCAAGTTATGGCTTCGATCATATCATCTATGTTAAGCAGAGTCTAGAATTAATTTATAATATTTATTAGTATAGTCTCTTGCCAATAGCCCGAAAATAAGTTGCTAACAGTTCGACCTTGTAGAAACTACAAGAAGACAACCATTTCAAATGCAAATTGAAATTGGAATTAATTTGGAAAATGAATAACAGAGTTCACAAGATGAATTGGTTATTGATGACATCCAGCCTTGATTTATCAAAAATACAGGGCCAACTCCTCATAAAGATTTAAAAATGAAAAAGCTCTCAACAATGGTCCTTGGTTTCAGTAATAAAGCTTGATTAGAAATCATTACCCGAGGACTTGACCGTTAAACTTGTCTATAATCTGAAGAATCACATTTCTGAATTGATTGAAAACCATGATGAATTTATAGTACGTTGATGGCGAGAGTGTGTCATAAGCTTTGACACAATAAAACAGTTTTCCTCGTATCATTTCATTTGATAAAGTTCGACTAAAGCGGAAATTATTGTCCACTACTATAACTGTACACGGGCTTTTTTTCCAAAAGTAGCCAACAAACAGCTGAAATTTTGATCCCTTACTTAGTGATGTACACAAAAACCACTGGATATTAGTAAGAAAAAAACTCCTATTTGAACCCAATCATCCACAGTCTGCACGAACCTACACCCACACTCAAAACGGATTAAATAAATATAACTCGTCTGGATAGTGATAATCGATTTGACTACATTAATTATTTTCTATTTTACAGAATTTTCGAACAATTGCGGTTAGATATTTGTCCAGTCTGAACCGGTATGTTCGATTTTCGTGAGTTCTGAAATTATGGAACTCTCAAAAGTACAATGTTACTTACAGAACTCAAGGAAGTCTCGGAACTGAAGAATTTGTTGAAATTGAAGTAATAGATCAGCCCTAGCATTTCAAACGAAATTTACATCATCATGCTTTGCTTATCTACAAGTTTTAAATAACTGCAGTCGTGTCTTACATCCAGAAATGTCATGAGAGATGACAAATATACTGTACAATCTTTTTGTGAACATTTGAATATGGATATGGTTGTACGTGTAGAGAATATTCAAACCCTAACTGCATACTTTCTAGAGTTCATTGAGTTCTGTAGGATCAGTAAATGAAATTGTATTTTTGAGAGTTCCAGAAATTCAGACCTCACGGAATTCGGCCACTGCTAAGTTTGAAACAGATTCATGTTTTTGTAGTGTAGAATACAATGTGTCATATCTTTTCAGCATCCCACAAAGAGCCTATTGATTGGATGAATTGCTTTTGATTCAAATTATCTAAGATAACTAGGTTTTAGTGATTAATGAATAATCCTCAGATAATAAGTGCTCCTATGAATTGTTCTCGAAGTTTTCATTATTTTATTGTAATATTCATTTATGACAAATTATATCACTGAAAATCCATCTTCGGGTTGGAATGCCTTCATTCAAAGTGACAAGAATCAGTGATGAACCTTGTAGAAGCAGAATATCAAATGTCAATTAGAAATTAGCAGTGGATCATACGACTCGCTCTTAAAACGACAAAGAAGTATTGTTCATTTGTAGATACATATATTTTATTTAATTCCTTTCATCTTCCATCTTGTGTTCTTAGAAGTCCTATTTTTTGACTATTATCACTTTGTAAATATAACTGAAATTTAGAATTGATTCTTTATCATTTTTTTAAACTAATATACAAGAAATAAATTAGATTAAATCTGCTATAAACACCGATAAACACATTGTATAGGGCAAAGTACTATAATAAATTAATTTTGTGAGAATATTTTTCCAAATAAAAATATCCTGGATAAAACATCAATAGAACATGCAATAGCACACTTCAATGATTGTCTACATAGTTTTTTTCAATGATAGAGCATAGCCATCATGACTAATGATATGTAAGTATTTAAAAATACTGCAAAGAAAATTTCCTCATCATTAAAAAAATCTGTATGATTGACAAATCGATGATTCATATACAAATATAAGAGAAGTAATGCTACAAATAATTGTACTGGTAAAAAATCTTTAAATTCATTTACTTGAAGCGAACAAGTTAATAACACCAGCGAAAGAGTCGACTTACTAATGGTCACTATGGCCAAAAATAATATGTACACATTCAAGGATGAGCAAGATATGTATTCATTTTTTTTTAGATTTTCTAGATTATTCAGCAAGATGTTTAAGTAGTGATTCTCAATGAAGTTACTCTCATACGCTCTTCTGAACTTTGTTTTCATCATAGACTTGAATATTCAATCGTAGCATGGATTAGACATGAATTATTGTTCACTCTTCAGTTTCATTCAAATTATACGATTTAATTCATAGATCAATCTATAATTAGGACAATTTTTGTATTTTATGATACTTCAGTCGAAAAAATTCTGTACACACAAAATTTTTATGTTCTTCAATAACGATTAAAATAAATAACAATCAGCATCTTTTCAAGGAATCAATGATAGTTCTACTAATTTTTCATCTTATTGGCTACTCAAACTTGAAACCTCTTAACTTGTTTGTTTTTTACATTCGGAAGAAATTACTGGCTTGCGAAGATACATCGTCATGCATTTGAGGGAAATTGCGATGCGCATAAAGGTAGAAAATGAATAAGAGAGGGAGAGAGGGTTGATATTGTAAAGAAACAGAATAAAATCAATGGCGTGATGTATACCTAATACGTAGTTTATTTACGTTCCGAGAGAAAAAAATACTTACCTTGTACGCATAAACACATTGAAGCTGAAAAAATTAATCACTTCCTTTCAATGATGTATGTGTCATATAGCTGATTAGCGCACATATTTAGACATCATCATTTATTCTACTAGTCCCATTCTAAGTGGTAAGTAGAGTCACATAAAGAGATGACAAGAATTATTTCTTTCTTCTTTGCTTACTCATTGTCACATGAACAAGAATCAATGTTTTTTTTGCGATTCAAATCCTATACATTTCGACTTCATAGACAAGCGTTATCTAGTGTTATTTTCAAGAATGAGATTGATTTTAGTAACTCTCTAGTATTTGTAGAGAAATACGAAGTGTTGCAGAAATGCTAGAAATAATTGTCCTAAATACTTGATTCTCTGATTATCATACTTTCAGATATGTCTTTCTTAATTTTTATTTGTCAAATACATATCCTTGAATAAGAATGTTTCGTATTGTCTTCTTAGATATTATAGAATAAGGTTGTTAGAAAATAGATTAACTATTATTATAATGCTCTCAAACTATGTATAAACTTTTCTAATATGTGATTTTATCATGCTGATGAAATATTTAAGAGAATGATTTAGACTAGTTTCTTCTCCTTGAGACATGTAGCGCAAAATGAACTATCATCCAGCTCTTGAAAAGTCGAGAACAATTGATTCCTTGTAATCTAATTCCACCGATTATTCTTATGATAGATTCCTTTCTTTTGTCAATTTTTTTTTTGAGAAGAACTACTTAGTTAGCAATATGATGCAATATTTCGAGTCCAAAAATCTCTTGGAAATCAATGGAATCTATTAATGTCGGTGGTACAATGAGTGACCTGGACACTCACACATCTTATGTCTTTTGAAAATTTCTAGTTTTTTTCATTATTTCCAGATTTAAAGTCAATTGTTTTCTTATTCAAGTATCTTTTTGACATTTCAATTGAACAACTACTTTAACACTTTTAACATTCATTACCATACGTTCTATTATCTTGGATAATTCATTAGAAACAATGAACAGAACTAATAACAAAGAGGATATCACTCTGATTTGGTTCAACTCAAAGATCAATTCCAATAATCATCTAGAACAAACCATAAAACAACTACGTCAAATTAATGATTATGTTGTATTCCATACTCAACTCGAATCTTGCATTACTTTCATTCAATCGATTCATAATGAAAAAATCTTGTTCATCTCTTCAATTTATGATGCATCACAAATATTGCCTCATATTGCAATGCTACCTCAAATTGATAGCATATTTGTTTTCAATTGGGAAAAATTAGATCATGAACATTTACTTGTTGAACATTCAAAACTTATTGGTATCTATGATGAATTCAATTTATTGAGTTTATCAATCCAAGAACAAATCGATTTTCTCGATCAACATTTAGAAACATTCAGTTTCTTCGATGAAGATGAATATTTAACAAAAGATCTATCAAAACAAACTGCTGATCTTCTTTGGTTTCAATTTTATGATGATGTTCTCTTTGAATTAACACATAATGAAGAAGCTAAACAAGAAATGATTGATGCATGTCGTTCTTATTATAAAGACAATATTAAAGAATCAGAAATGATTAGGAAGTTTGAAAATGAATATCAATCAAAAGAAGCTCTTCGATGGTATTTGAAAAAATCATTTCTTTACAAAATCATCAAAAAAGCATTGAAAATCAAAGATTTCAATCAACTCTATATATTTCGATATTTTATGAAAGATTTGAGAGAAAATTTCATTCGAGAACATCAAAAAATGATTCAATCTGGTAAAGAAATATTATTAATCTATCGAGGAATAAAATTAACAAATGATCAAATCGAGAAATTCCAAGAGAATGAAGGTAAACTTGTTTCAATCAATGGATTTTTCAGAACAAATATTCATCGTTCAACTGCATTTAATCAAGCAATGAAATCTTCAAAACAAACTCATCTCATTTCTGTTCTCCTAGAAATTCAATGCGATCTAAAACAGCTGAACAACAATATCATTGGTATTGATAGTGTTGATTTTAGTGAATTTTCAAGTGAAGAACAACAAGAAATTTTCTTCGATTCAAATGTCACTTTTCGATTGAAAAGTATGAGAATGGAAGAAGATATGTGGTTTATTGAAATGATTGCATCAAATCAAGGTGAAATTATCAAAGAAAAATATATAAAAGACTCACATCGTCAAATGGAAGGTTTAAGTATGAGAATTCTCTTTGGACGATTGATGTGTGATATGGGTCAATGGAATCAATCACAACAATTCTTTGAACATTTATTGAACAACTCGAATAGTAACAATGAAGATATTGGAAAGATTGAATATAGTCTTGGTGAAGTTCTTCAATGGAAAGGAGAATGGAGTGAAGCACGAAGATATTATGATCTTGCTTATGAACGGATGATGAATGTAAAACCAATACGACTCAAGGATTCAGCTGATATACTGTTCAATATTGGTGAGATTCTTTATTTAGAAGGAAAGTACGAAGAAGCTCATGATTATTATGAACGAGTTTTGGCAATGCGAAAAGAAAATTCTTCCTTTACCAAAGTTAATAGGCCCTGTTTACCGAATCGCCGACGCAGCAGTAAGCTGAGTAAAGTTTGCACGTCGTTCTTGCCGGTTTTATTGAATTCAAGCGAATTCCTTCAATCATGTTCTCGATGGTATTGTACTATAAAATTCCGACGAATTTCCGGATGGTATTGTACTAAAAAATCCCGGCAGATTTTCCGATGGTATTGCATTAAAAAATTCCGACGAATTTCCCGCCAGTTCCTGTCGAAGTATACTGCAAATAGAACAGAACTCGTCAGCAAAAACTCAGTCGAAAGATGTTTGCTAGAAATATGCCGAAATATGCGAAAAACTAGTTGGCTGCAAACAGGCGAGGTTAACCCAGGTAGTAATATGCTTATTGTTGCTATTCTTCGCAGCTTTGGCAAGATCTTTGATAAACAAGCAAAATCTGATGAAGCACTTATCTTTCATCAACAAGCACTGACAATGCTCGAAGAATATTATCAATCTCCTCATATTGATATCGCTGTTAGCCTTATGTACATTGGTAGCATTCTTATTCATCAAAAAAACTACGATAAAGCTCTAGATTTCTGTCAACGAGCGATATCAATCTATACAAGATATTATCCAAATGGTCATGTATACATCGCTTCCACCCTCAACTACATCGGTTATATTCTCTGTTTCAAAGGCAACTATGATGAAGCTCTGAAGATGTATGAACGAGCATTAGCAATGCAGCAAAAGTATTATCCATCTGGTCATGTTGATATTGCCTTTAGTCTCAATGAAATAGGACATGTTCACTATGCTCAAGGAAAATATAATGAAGCTCTATCATATTATGAGCAAGTTCTAGAAATTCTTCAGAAATATTGTTTTTCAGGTCATGACAATATTATTTGTACTCTAAACAACATTGGATATATAAAAAAGAAACAAGGAAAGTATGATGAAGCTCTTGATTTTCATCAACAAGCATTGACAATGCAAGAGAAATTTTATCCATCTTATTATGCAAACATTGCTAACACACTCAATTACATCTCTAATGTACTACATTGTCAAGCAAAATATGATGAAGCTCTATACTATTGCCAACGAGCACTAACGATGCAAGAGAGCTATTATCCTTCAGGTAATGTCTCAACAGCTTCAAGCCTCAACAATATTGGCAACATCCTATGTGATCAAGGAAAGTACAATGAAGCTGTTGATTTTCTTCGACAAGCACTATCAACTGTAGAAAAACATAGTTCACATGATCATTTTTCCATTACCTTTTATATGAACAACATTGGGATTATATTATGCAAGCAAGAAAAATATCATGAAGCTCTTGATTATCATCGACGAACACTCGATATGCAAGAAAAATATTGTCCATCATGTGAGCGTGAGATTACCAACACTCTCAATTACATTGGTAATGTTCTCATTGGACAAGAAAAATATGATGAAACCTTGAAGTTTTATCAGCATGCACTCGAAATGCAAGAAAAGTATTATCCAAATGGTCATGTGAATATTGCGACAACCCTCATTAATATTGGCACAACATTTCGTAAACAACAAAAATTCGATCAA